TGGCACAGCTTCAGCCATACTGTCACCAACACCTTCTTTTGACCATAAGCTGCAAATAGTTATGCTTCCTCAGTTTCTTGATTCTATTCTCTTTTTTTCAGGTTTTCCTGAGTGATCTGTGCCCATTGTCATTGGGATGGGCTTTCCTCTCCTTTGAGAGTTGCGCTCAAATATTTTCCACTCCAATTTTCTGACGTGCCCAGAGCTGCTTTTTTGGTATGGACTATGTTCTTTGACTCACATAAGGACCATTGCAGACTATTGAAACAAGCAGAGCAATTGAGAAGGTTTTCCCTTCCTCAAAAGAGACCCATAGCGCTGATGCCCTCCCACCTAACCGCCCCATTCTCTCCCCCCCCCCCGCTTGACTCCCAAACTGGCTTCTCGTCTCCGTTCCCACAACTAGGAATCGCGCGCCGCGTTCTCCCGGCGAATCCCCGCAAGGAGACGGGTTTTGGCTGCTGGACTTTGATCGGGGAGTTTTCTCCCCCATTCCCATTCAGCCCCGAAAGCTTTCGCCTTCTCTCTCCGCCTAAGCCTACCTTACCGGGTTGTTGTGCCTGGAGAGGAGGAAGAAAAACGCGTCGGGATGGAAAGCAACCCGCGGGGAAACGCACCATCCCTAGCTTGAGACCAAGCCGGGAGACGCCGCCTTGCAAAAGCGGGGAAGACGCGGACACGACCCACCGGCTTTCAACCCCTACCCGAGTTCGGCTTGGCAGGATTAGCCGCTCTTGGCTCCTACCTGGGCGGTGTATTTGCCGACGGGACTCCCCGCGACCTCGGGAGTTCCTTCTCCAACTTCTTCTCCCGGCCGCGGAGCTCCTGCCGGATCTTTCCATTCACTTCGGAGCTGGGCGGCTCCTCCCTCCCCGGCGCCCGCCCTCGAGCCCTCGGCGGGACTTCTTTCCTCGCCCTCCGCCCCGGCGGGAGGCTTCTTGGACCGCTGAGCTGGGATAATTGGCCGAGCGTTTTCACACGTGCAAAAGAGACACGCGTGTTCGGTGATTCGAACTCTAGAACTGGGGTTGAGAGCGGCCCGACGTGAACTTATAAAAGAAACATCGTGGCCCGCTTCCTCCTTCCCTTTCTTTTACCTGTCAATTCAGCAGGTTAGAGTTATTGAAAGGTCTTGTAAGTGTGTCCCTTGGTACTGAATTAAGTTAGTTTTCTTAATTCCATCCATATCATCCATTGATACATCGGTTGGATTAACACGGTATGCTAAAGGCAGAATGAAAAGTGTCTCATAATATACCCAACTCCATCTTAGTGGGGTGGAACAAATTGTGAAACCCTTGCAGCTGGGCCATGAAGTCACCACATGGCTTGGCTTTGTAGGGTAAAGGTAAAGGTAGCTCTACATGGGGCAGCCTTTGAAGAGTATTTGGAGACTACAACTCGTCCAGAATGCAGCTGCGCGAGCTATTGTGGGTGCACCTCAGTACACCCACGTTACTCCTATCCTCCGCGAGCTGCACTGGCTACCGATCGGTCCCCGGATATGCTTC